ACGTAAGGTCTGGGATGAAGAATACAATCACTAAAGAATCAAGTAGAGTTCTAAAAGAGTAATATGGCAATATGGCTACAAAAGGTCATGACGTCGAATACGAAAAAAGTCCTGGTAAAGTCCTTGACAATGATGAAACGGTAAGTCCTGTGTACTGAGTCCTTCTATCAATAAAATATCCAAAGTCCCTCTCTTCAAACCCCGATAATCCTCCTTGCCGAGCCCTTTTGGCGGTGAATGGTACAGCGAGCCTGACGCCTTCCGTAACAAAACTCCCGGATATGAAGTCGTTTGGAGCGGCGGGGGTAAGGCGTCGACTGCGAGGCTGCAGATGATACACTTGTCACAGAGGACAGTGATACGTCAGAAAAATAAGATGACGTGGATTCTGTATCCGAGTCTGAGTCGCTGTCGACTGGGGCAAACTCAGGTGGAGTGGGTACGTGGATGGGCGTAGGAACACTAATGCATGGGTGAACAGTCTGCTTCCCAGCGATGAAACGGACGTTCGATGGATGTAAGTCAGCATCAGCATCCCAGAGAGCAACTGTGCGAGCTGCAATCTGGGCCTGGACATGAAGAGGCGTGATGGTTATGTGGATATCCTGGTTCCCGAGTAGAAGGATCCAGTAGGGCCAGGGCAGGCCGGTGGTCATGCAGGCATCGTGAAGGGGTCGTGGAGGGGGCCTATAGGGCGACAGTGAAAGAGACCGTACTCGCTGCAGAGATTTTTTAAGTAGGCATCGCAGCTTGTCTATGACCAGGGACGAGCAAAGGGGAGCAATGTCGTCAGTGAGGAACGAAACGACGGCAGAAACGGCGTTCGTGTCGATGACCTGCATGGCGGAAAACTGTAGGTACTCTTCGTGAAGCCGCAGTCCTTATATAGCCGGGCGGGTAACCAGCAACCATTGTGGACGCCGATGCCATTGTAATGCCAAAGCGCAACAATACCTGTCCAAGTTAACTTTTTGCCGGCGTCACTACCGGTCCGGTCTGCCGAGCTAATTTTTTTTGTTTTCCCTTTCATACTCCGTCATGCTCGGACTGGGACGCGCTCTCTGTCATCGTCGCAGTGTCCTCTCTCGTTATCTATCGTCGTCCGTGTCAAATGACCAACCTTCTTTTAGACGCATTGTTCGCCCCGACAACATCCCTCAGCAGCTTGGGTTTGATATCGGTGCTATAGATGACTTTTTGCAGGCAAGCCCGGTGGAGAAGATAGAACGTCGAGGAGACCGCAGTATGCTGGTGCATTGCCTCTCAGAAGATATGGCTAATCGCTATATCGAGACGCATAATGGCCGACAGGGTGTGACTCTAACACTTGAAGAGACTCGGTGCCAGCCAATATCCTCCTACACTGTAGCCAATATAGGACTGCTCTCGATGACTCGGTGCCTCAAGATCCAAAATATTCCATCTACTGTTAAGATAGAAAACATAGCAGAGTTCTTTCAGCCGTACACCATGCATTCTTATAGGATAGAAGAATCTTGTGTATATGTCCGCTTTCTGGATATACATAGAACAGGACATGTAAGTATCGTTTCTCGGAGCGTCTGTCTGTACTTTACCTTCATTTGTTTGCACAGGCCCATTCTGCTTTTCGTCACGTTTCAAACTCTCAATTCGGAAGTGCACGCGTATCGTTCGCAAATGACTTTTTAGGCGAAGCATATATGTATCCTTGTTGGTACACGAAGGAAAGAGACCTCTATCCACTCCGCACTGTTATCATCCGAAATATCCCGGATGCTCGTATATACCTCCGTTGTCGTAATGCCGTTATCGAGTTCGACGTCGATCCGGTAACTCTTGCTCGATTTAAACAGCGAAAGGTAAATGTGAAATATCTCCAAAGCGTCTGTGATGATATGTGACCTGATCACGTACATTCACAGATTATGCTAGTAACTTTCCAAATGTCGACAACCGCGCAAAGATTTTTCGACAGTTTTGGGCCCTTGGCTGAACAACTGGGTGTCACAATCTCAATGGCAGGGGGGACCAACCCTCGACTTGTCAGTCCAGCACTTCTCACCGCCTATGACCTTGGCGTCAACCGAACTCTTCACCTTCGTATCAACCGAACCCACTTTGGCCTCCCATTTATGAACATGTTTGAGCGCTTCGCTGATATAGCGAGGACGTCAGTTCGTTTCCCGTGCGTCTTTGCAGCACCGTCCTCTCAAGCTGTGGTTATTGACCGTATGGTGCAGGGAGGATCACGACTCAGTGGAAGGAGACCTATTCATCGAATTTCAGAATATCCTTGGGGCTCTGCGCGCATTGGTCCAGCTCTCGCAGGGAGCCAATGTAACATTTGCAGATCTTCATGGAGTGCCTATGAATTTTCGTGCGGCGAGTCAGTTCAAGCCTGTGACTTTGAAATACACATCAAACGTTTCTGCCTCTCGGTGGGCTGCTCGACACGGTCATATCGATATTTGATCAGAGTAATAGAGGGACAACGACCGTGCCTTGAAAATATACGAACAAGTTAGTCTTGATTTTATGTACATATTTCAACTCGACGGCACAATCCCTTCGCGTTACGGCTCGTGCAATTCTACCAATTCTATTGCTGTCCTGTTCTCGACGAAAGCATATACTTATGTGCGAGCATTCAATTCCACCTTATGCCCATTTTCAATTATTCCACAATATCATAATTCTGTGTTATATTTCTGAGCTGCCCGGCGTCTATTCTGAGACCGGTTGTGATAGGTCAGTTACCAAACGCCGCTCAGGGCAATTATCCGGCTTTCTTGTACCCATCTGTCTTCCGCATCGTTCACCCTGGTCCTTTACCATGCACCTCCCCCAGTTCCTGAACGTTGTCTCATACCACTCTCAGTATCTCGTCATGTGGCACCCAGCACTTTAACCAACGCCTCATTTCCACCTCAAAAGAGAACGCTCCCTTTGAGATATACGAACTTCAGAAATCATGATGCTGTTATGGAGCACCCGATGGATACGGATAACGTTCCTTGGCGCTGTGAATGTGGGGCTACCGGAAGGTATGGGAACATGGTGATCGAGCGCGTTACAATTCCCCTGGAGAAAAAATTTGAGGGTTTCTGATATCAGGTGGCTGCAGTCTCCTTTTCGACGCACTCTATTAGTGGACGCCGATACCAGGATCCGCATTTTCATTTCCCCAAGATGTGCTGGTGTTGCCGCGCCTTCGCTTGGAAGGCTCAAGTTAAGGCCATGCAGCGGCCGCCCCTTCCTCCGTATCTTGCGTATGAGCTCGCTATGTTGCGACGAAAGAGGAATGCGCCGTGGAAGCATCATCTAATCAACCGGGATCTGTGGGACAAGGGATTTCCTTCCCAGCGGATGAAGTGGTACCCACGATGGTTCGATGGCTACAGGTGGCCATAGAGCCAGACCTGGACAAAGCAGCAGTGTGTCTCATCCTTTACTTTGTTCTGCTAGTGTGCTGACTGTTGTCGAGGTATCGCCCCTTTCCGGTGGTTTTATTGTTCCCTTGTCTTATTCCTTTGTGGCTTGCCCTTTGGCATAAAGGCGCCACTCCTTCATCTCGGCAATTTCTTCATTTATAAACGATGCTAAAGATTCTCTCTTTTCATCCTCACATCTCATACCATGCCCACCCGAACTTGCCCGTCGAATAACCCTGCTTCTCTCTGGTATCTTGTCGCGTCTGCGGAACGCGTCAGCCAAGATTCCTCTACAGCCCTATTTGCCGCCAAAGGCCCATCCGACGAGGACCGTACTGATTCGATGAATGCCCTGACGGACTCGATAGCCGTACACAACAGACTCCTCGCCGCTGCGAGGGGAAAAGTTCCAAATCCACCCGCCGTGGAGAGCTTTGAATACAATATACACGTTGCGTCGACTTATTCTGGTGTCAGCTATCTTCGGGGTTTTGTGGATGGTATTTACAGCTGGGACAAGGCATCCACCGTAGTGACCAGATGGCTGGCATGCGTCTGGCGGTGTCTCGTACATGAAAGTCCAGATATCAAGCTAGTTTATGATTGCCTTTCGTTGTTTACGCACGCTGTACGTTCGCTAGAAAAGCCGGGCGTCTTATCACGACACAAGTCGGTGCCTTTTCACTTCCTCATGCTGATACTGATTCATGCGTCAGATTTTCCGACGTGACATGCCATCTCAGAGTGGAAACGGCCGTTTGCGATATCTATGACGTTGATGAACACATAGAGACCCATATTGTTTGGATGTGGAGGGATCTCATTGTCTCTTCAGTTGCTCACGATGGCGCTATGGGTGCTACAGTTCTGATAAATAATCGTATTGGTGAGTATGGTTACGGGAAGTCCGTTGCAGATCGCATTCGTAATCCTGGTACGTCGCATACAGTCTGTCTGGCCATTTATACTCATAGACCATGTTTTAGGGCAAGAATTCAACGAATTTTGGGACGAGCATTGGTCGCAAGCCATGATAGATGCTGGTCAGGAGTTGAAACTATAGTCGCTGTTTTGACTGGTTTCATCATTCATTTACACAACTCCGAAGGTTCCTTTTGAGCATTGTTCTTATGTCGATAATACCTCGACAGCACAACATATGACAGATGTTTAAAGTGTATCTCTTTTGCGACCCTTTTGGCCTAAGCTTGTTCCTACAGCTGCATGGCCCACACCCTCAATCTAGTGTTGCCGGTTCTCAGCTAGACTCGGCTCGGCTGAACTTATGGCGGCTTCCATTGACTCTGAGCCTAAGCGATTCCACCGTAATGTATCTGTCTCTTGCGTTGGAAAAATGCGCCCTAAGGGTACCGCAGTACCTTGAATACATTGCAAAATGTACATATAGGGCTTAATACGATAATGTCATTATTATTGTCTTCAGTAGCTTTATGTCAAAATGTTGAAAATATGGACCACTTTTCACAATTTTGTACAAAATACCCGACATACCTACACTACTTGCAACTTGCTTACAAAGATACTTCAAAATTCTCTACATTCATAGGTGAAATACACCTCAAAAGTAACCCCCGGCGAGACTCGAACTCGCAACCTCCAGATACTCATATCAGTAGAAGTCTGACGTCATAACCATTAGACAACGAGGGCTTTGAATAGGCTAAGTAAACTTGCATGTATGTAAGCAAAGCAAGCTCTTTCCGGGTCTTCTTTTGTGTTACATCTCCTTAAGCGCTACTTTGTACGAGCGCCTATCAAATATGGTCACAGTTTTAACCGATGCCGCCGTAATGTCGCACTTTGTACAGCATTGTTGGATAGACCCCTGTCCGTGCACTCGGCATGGACGCGACCGTGGCATCACTCTTTCAATCGCTGAGGGTCGAAGAGGCCGGCGGCTTGGAATCCAATGCCAGCTATATATCCGAGCCTGGCTTCAGTGGCCGACCGAGCATTCTGTCTCCCCATACCGACATCTCAACCCGACCCACTACTTATGATCAACTCATCGACTACCTTGAAATGCTCACCGTACCCGTCATTGATCCTGAAAACTTCCGCTTAGGAAAAGGAATAGGGTCGGGGGCTAGCTTCTACGTCCAAGAAGGTAGACTGCTGTTGAGCGGTCTGTCCTTATGTGCTGCGGTCAAAACTCCTCGACGAAGTATACATAAGCAGCCACACGTCTTGAGCTCAATCATCAAGGAAGTTCTTGATGAAATTCGGGTGATGTCCCATCTCTCTATGCACCCTAACGTGGCAACTCTTTTGGGTGTGGTGCTCGAGAAAAGCGGGGCAGAGCGACTGCTTCCTAGGCTCGTCGTGGAGAGATCCATTGGTTCCCTTGGCAGTCTCCTACGGAAGGCACAGACCGGGCTTCCCAGGGACCTAAAGATCCGATTCTGTTTGGAAGTCGCTGCAGGCATTGAAGCTCTCCATCTCATCGACATTGTTCACGCAGATGTCAAATCTGACAATATTCTCATATTCTTGACGACGGATAACTGGGAAGATAGCCGTCCCCCAATGTTAACTGCGAAGGTTTCTGATTTCGGATTCTGCGTGCCCGATACGACCGTACGGAACCGGGTCGCAGCCACAGGGACCCTGCGGTTCAAAGCGCCAGAGTCCTTATATGGTTCTCCTCCATCGTTGCGTCAGTATGCTAATCTGCCTCAAAGAGATCTTTATTCATTTGGAGTCCTCGTGTGGGAGATTATCAATGATGGTGACCTCCCTTTTTCGACTGTCCGTGACGTCGACATTCCAAGTCTTCAGCTATCCACCGAAGATGGAGCTGCTAATTTTCTCATTGAGAGCAGCTCCGAACAGCCAGACAGTTTCACCAAAACTATCCGTGGTACTGTCGTCAGGAATCCTGTCAAAAGGATGGCTTGGCAGGAAGTTTTCGCCTCATTGACTTCATTGTGCGACGCGTCTTGTACTTCCCCAAACAGGTACTTCTCCATAACAGAGGTTAGCTTCTAATACAGCACTCGTCGTAGCTGCTAACATCTGCTTAGTATTTCATTGAAAAAGACAATCGACAACTTCAAGTGCACTGGAACGAATTTCAACAGGTACCGTGGATACCAAAGGCGCCGATACCATATACAGTGGGTCTTTCATCTAGTGTTCATCTTCCTTTTGCTAGAGAATATATTATAGACTTGGCAAGATCGCGATAGCAATGATTATTCAAACCTAGTGCTCAATGAGCTTGAACAATCGAGTAGGGGCGTAACTTGGGAATGGATCTCGGCCATACGACTCGCCCTCCACTACTTCCGCATTGGAAATACTACTCGAATGAACGAGTTTCTCCAGATATTTTCAGCGAGCAAGATACCAGAACTTGGAGAGTATGGCGGAGCACTCCTTCATTTGGCTGTAGAAGTCGATGCCGCCAGCGTCATTCCGATTCTTCTCGAAAAGAAAGTTAACGTCGGTGCGCGAGATAATTATGGACGTACACCCTTACATATGGCTAAATCTATCGCCGTCGCTCAGGCCTTGATTAATTTCGGTGCAGATGTACGTGCTAGGCGGCATGGGACTGCCAACGGCTACACCCCTCTACACGTTGCAGCCTCGGGTGAAATTGCCGAGCTACTCTTGCGTTATGGAGCAGAGGTAGACGCAAAAGCATACGATACATTATTGACTCCCCTCCACACCGCCGATTCTGCTGATGTAGTACATGTCTTGATACGGTACGGTGCTAACCCGTTAGAACGGGACAGCGACGGGTCCACACCGCTGCATTCCACGTTTCGAGATGATGTCGCTATGAGCCTCATGGATTTGAGCCCTGAAGCGCTCAAACTTATCGACAAGTATGGATGCACACCGCTACATCGTCAGATTGACTCCTGGGGTGTCGAAACAGTGAAGCATGCCATTACTTGTGGTGCAGACGTGACTGCTACAGGGATACAAGGGGAGACTCCTCATTTTGGACGTGGGAGCTTTACTATATTCAACATCGCTGGATACCGTGCTCTATTCCAAGCAGTCACCGACACTGCCAGCATAATTCCTCAGAAGGAAAATCTATCCGTCATCTCCACCCCTTTGCATAAAATCACGGAGCCAGAGCTGATGGATCTTTTTCTTCGCAACGGCTTTTCAAAATTCGTTAATCATAAGAATCGTGTTTTTGGGCACACTCCCCTGCATTGCGTAGCTGATAGAGACACGGCTCTGTTTAACGCCTATATTCGTTGCAATGCATGGAACAAGCCTTTTCGCGAGAGACATTGGAGACCAGGATTGGCACCCCCCTTCATGGCTGCAAGTTTCATCAAATACTCGTCTCTAGTCCCATCTCTCCAGCTCATGGATATGCTTCTGAAGCATGGTGCGGATCCTAATGTTCCCAACTCACAAGGGGACTCTCCGTTGCACCTCTTAGCTCAAAATGCTTTGGGACATAAAGGACATAGTGAGATTGTTACTCTCATCGAGCACCTCGTGAATGCAGGCGGTGACGCCAATGCACGAAATACGCACGGTGAGACTCCCCTACACTGCGCTTCGCGAGTGGAGACAGTTATCGCGCTCCTGAACGCTAGCACTGATCCCCGACTGGTCGACAATGAATCAGTCACCCCTCTCCATCATCTTTACCGTTTCCCTGAATCATGTCATACAGTAGTACGCGTGCTCCTCGAACACGGCGCAGACATTAATGCCACCGACGATGAGGGATTTACACCTCTACATTACGCATGTCGTCTATACGAGTCGCAGAGTACCAGAGGGCTTTCGCAGATGAGACGATGGCGAAGTATGTCATTCTCCGGATTTGGGCAACCCACACTTCAGTCGAAGCTCAAGTTGGCTTTGGAGACGACTGTTGAGGCGGTAACTGCGCTGTTGGACCATGGCGCTGATGTTAATGTTCGCACAAGGGCGGGTGAGACTGCATTGGATATGCTCTCGAGGCAGCCGTATGCACGGGACGCACATAATTTATTAATATTCCATGGAGCCACGCGTATCACTGAACATCTTGCACCCTGGTGGGACTTTGCCAATGCTATCTAGATCCTAGTGACTGACTGACATCCAAATTTTCGCTATAACAAACGCTAAGCTACTGATTCGAATGCTTTTTTGAATCTTTTGAACAGCGTTGACTTTGATTAAAATTGAACGAAAACTTTCTAATGCAAGTGGTTGTGATAGATGTCGATGGTGCCATACACCGTCATTAGAATCCTGATGCTCGACACGGGCTTCGTTGAATAAAATTGCACGATCGGTGAAATCGGCCCGGACTCCTTTTTTGTGACGCGTACGCCTCTCCCCACGTACTCGAACTTGCGATGTCAACAGCGCAAGCTCCTGCGACTGCTCCAGCCACCGGTGGCGCCCAGCAAGAACAATCAGGATTCCGTAAGTTCTTGGGATTTGCTCAGGTGCGCATTGAGTAATTTCTGCTTGAGTCCGGTAACGAGACTTGTTCCAGCAAATATTCATCTTTTGGACTATCACACAACTTGGTATGGAAAATAAATTCTTCTTTATAGAAAAATTCGTATTTACGGGCTGCAGCCACGAAGTTCTTTGCACCAAAGACCGCTGGGCCAGATACAACAATATCTGCAGGAGGAAAGCAGGCCGTCAATACGCAACCTGTAGATCCATGGAGCCAACCCCCAACGCATGCATCTCTGGCATGGCCTCTTGGCGATACGTACTCGATGCACATCCACTTTACTACGGCCCCATATACCGATGACCTCACGAAGCAATGGAGTAACATTAACAGGGAAGACAATCTGCCGCATTTCGTGTGGAATAATATCCATTTTGGAGACTATAATGACCATCGGTCCGTGGAGTATACCATTGACTTCCCGGAGGTGTGTGGCTGGCTTTATCTCTTTGACTCTGTCTAATCGTTATCGCAGGTTGTCAAGAACAACGGCTCTCTATGGGCAGATATTTACTTACTGAGGAATGGTGCAGCTTTGGATCCCTCGAGCACCTTTTTCGATGCGGAAAACATCCACTATGTTCGCAAGCGTGCGTGGATCTGCTGCGCATATGAAACCTTGTCTCATTTCTCACAGTACTTACGCCATATTTCCCTCGAGCAAAAGCTCGCAAGGAGAAGAACCTTTTGAGTGGCGAGACAGCTGTCGAGGATGACGCCGAAGAAGCGGATGTTATTGTCCCTCATTGGCATAGTGTTAGTCGCAGTCTGTTCTCGCCAGCAAAGCTCTCATTTCTCGGTAGAACATAACCCTTGCACTCATCTCGGATCCAGCTGTTCTTCCCTACTCTTCGCTTCCGCCGCCGATTCTTGATCGTGAGTGAGCCGGTCTACTTAGTTGGCCTCTAGTAACATGCTGTTGCTTTTCAGACATACACCTCGTGCCCGACGCGAGAGATGTAACTGGAACAAAGGGTCAGGTCCCTTCCCGGTAGTTCAGATTACAAAAAATCTGAACGTCTCTTAGGTTTCTACAAGCCCATCATCTTCCCCAACGAATTTTGGCACCTACAAAGTCACTATGTTGAGGTAAACAGTACCACTAAGGCCCTGCCAGTCCAAGTTGTTTTTCAGCCCATGTCATACATGAAATTCCAATTATTCGCCACCATGACGCAGGGATTCAAAGACGCAGAGAAGCAACAAG